AAGCTATTCACTTCCTAATAATTTCCAAAACTAAGAAAGTACAAAACTAATACTTAGCCTTGTTTTCCTAATTAGCTTATTCTCTTTTCATATAGGCAGCCAGCCTCTAATTAAAGAATGCGCTACAGAGTATTGAAGCAGATTAGAAGGGTGTGACTAGGGATTTGTAGTCAGATATCTGATTGTTGGAATTTTTCGGAGCTTATTGACATGAAACGAAGTTAAAACAAGATTGAAGTTTTATGTGTCATTAATAATTGATATTACAAAGTACAAGATGTAAATATTATTTTGATATAGTTACAGGAATTAAGCATTAGAGAAAAACTTTAAAATAGTTATAGTAATTTTGACACTATCATAAAGACGTCACTATATACTTGTGACTTGTATACTAGTGGCAGTACTATAAAATATGGCTGACACAGGCGTTCAGAATGGTATACTAGTGACAGTACTATAAAATATGGCTGACACAGGCGTTCAGAATGGTATACTAGTGGCAGTACTATAAAATATGGTTCAAAATGGTTTACTAGTAGCAGTACTATAAAATATGCCTGACACAGGCGTTCAGAATGGTATACTAGTGCCAGTACTATAAAATATGGCTGACACAGGCGTTCAAAATGGTATACTAGTGGCAGTACTATAAAATATGGCTGACACAGCCGTTCAGAATAGTTTGGCAAGCAAATTAAGTGTCGGAGCTATTTTTGTAAAATGTGGCCGATAAATACGTTCAGAGTGATGTCGTAAGTCAAATTATGTATTGGAGTTATTTTTGTAAAATATGGCAATCACAAGTTTCCAGAATGTTATTCTGAATCAAATTACATATTAGAGACGTTCTGTAAGACATGGCTGATATATACATATCATATACATATACATAGCTGATATATACATAGTAGAGACATGGCTGATATAGGTGTTCAGAGTGATGTTGTAACTTAAATAACATATTAGAGATTATTCTGCAAGATATGGTTGATATAGGTGTTTAGAGTGATGTTGTAACTTAAATAACATATTAGAGATAATTCTGCAAGACATGGCTGATATAGGTGTTCAGAGTGATGTTGTAACTTAAATAACATATTAGAGATTATTCTGTAAGATATGGTTGATATAGGTGTTTAGAGTGGTGTTGTAACTCAAATTAGTTATTGGAAGCTGTTTTGTAAATCATGACTGACACAAATGTCCAGAGTAATGTTTCGAATCAAATTTCCCATTGGACGTAGTTCTGCAAAATTTTGCTAGTCCTCTAAGACATGGCTGACACAAATGTCCAGAGTAATGTTTCGAATCAACTTTCTCATTGGACGTAGTTCTGCAAAATTTTGCTAGTCCACTAAGACATGGCTGACACAAATGTCCAGATATCCAGAATGATGTAGATCAAATTACATATTGGAGGTAGTTCTGGACAATATGGTTGACAAAGATGTCCAGTGTTACGTATGTATGTATGTATGTATACGTATGTATGTCAAGTTACGTATTATAGGCAGTTCTGCAAAATATGCTTGGCTCAAGTTGCTAGAATGTTGTTGTAAATTTAATTACATATTAAAGGTAATTCTATATAATAAAGCTGACAGTTGTGTCATATATGAAGTTATGTATTAGAGGCAGTTGTGAAAAATATGTCTGACACAGATGTCTAGAGAGATACTCTTAATCCACTTATATATTGGCGGTATTTCTGTAAAATATGACTGACATAGATGTCTAGAGAGATGCTTTTAATCTACTTACATATTGGCAGTATTTCTGTAAAATATGGCTAACACAGATGTCTAGAGAGATGCTTTTAATCTACTTACATATTGGCGGTATTTCTGTAAAATATGGCTAACACAGATATTTAGAGAGATGCTTTTAATCTACTTACATATTGGCAGTATTTCTATAAAATATGGCTGACATAGATGTCTAGAGAGATGCTTTTAATTTACTTACATATTGGCGGTATTTCTGTAAAATATGGCTAACACAGATATTTAGAGAGATGCTTTTAATCTACTTACATATTGGCAGTATTTCTATAAAATATGGCTGACATAGATGTCTAGAGAGATGCTTTTAATTTACTTACATATTGG